CCAGTTAATGCACAGGCCTGTCTGCACAGAAACTGAAACCATTACGTTTAAGCCGAAGAGTGGCGTAAACTTGTTATTACAGCATATTCGCCACACTTTTTACGCAAATGAGCTTAGCGGACACAACAAGCAGCAGGGCAGGGCCTTGGTGCAGATGGAATTGTGACTTATGAAAATTAATCAGCGACATACAATAAGGAAGAAAGCTGAACAACTGCAAATCCGACTGGAATGCAATTACCTGACATACGCAATTATAACAAGCCTACATCCTGAATCATCCCCCGTTACATGGCTATATTATTTGTTCGTTAAATACTTGACATGATTTCACTTGAATCGCCCTCCTCGATGCATATCTTGCGCCAAGCACACAGCTTCTGAAGTGGCGACATCTGGCTCCATTCCTCTTTCGAAACAGAAAAGTCTGCATACTTTCCTGTCAGCTCAAGTTCTCCTTCATTTTTGATGATGCAGCGTTTCAGACGCGTTCTCTCATCTGAAATTCGAAAATTTCAGCAAATTCCGAGAAAAACAACAATCGCTACTGCCATAAACCCAGACCTTTACATCTTTCTTCCAACATATGAATTATGACATGGAGACCAGTGCACTGCAAATTTTGCAGCCGAATCTTCAGCCGCGCATTTGTGTTCTCAGCGGGATTCGCAATCACTCTGCCAACACCGAGGCCTGATGTAAATCGCGCGGGCAATAAATAACCTGAAAAGACAAGTCGTGATCCCACCTGCATGGATATTATCATAAAGTAATGCCTAACGAGCAGTTGTTACATGCCTGATAAGATCATTGGCACAATGTTGCTCCAAAACTTTTTCGTGAAGCCGCTGCATAACAGTTCCCAGTTTTCCTTTTCGCGTTCTAAGCGCTCCTTAAACACCTCTTCCGAAATGCAGTCGACCAGCCCTAAAATGAGCGAAGTGAATTTGTGATAAAAATTTTCTGATGGTGTCTAACTCTATCCTGTGTAATTTCAAACGTACCGTATTTTCGCTCTCTTCCGTGTTCCGTTAGCATTTCTTGTCCGAATATTCCTGCCAATATTTCAGTTTTAGCTTTTTTATTTGCGCCGCACTGTCTCAACAACATTTCAACTTTCGTGCGTAAGTGGGACTCGCACAGTATATGGCTGCAGGGACTCATAAACAACGGTATTGCACTGATCTGATTTATTGCTGCTTCTGAATCCACGACAATGGAACGCACTCTATCGTTGACTGTACTTTCAATTGCATCTGCCAAAAAATAGGCGAACCAGCGGTAGTCGTTCTCGGATTTTTCGCTGCTAAACATAAATGCTCCGAAGCAAATAGCTGGCTCCCCATTTATTTTGGCAAAAACTGCTGATTTGAATACTAGCGTTGTGCAATAGAAGCCGAGGTTATACGTCACATGGAGGTAGCACTCCCGTGCTCCGTTTCTCGCTTCCTGTGCTATACGTTCATCAGTAAAATGGCCAGGGTCAACATTCGCTTTCCCAGGATGAATCCTGCTAAGTAAGTCTTCTAAACTTTGGCGCCTTTGGACGCAGCTTACTCTGAAATGTGCCAGCATCGATCGCGTGGCACAAAAAATGCGCTTATTTCCTTTTTCGTGTAGTATGAAACGAACGAATGGATCAGCTTTTTGCAGTTGCTTTTCGATTTCATCAAAGTCTGTAAATGCCGTACCTTCACTGTTGTACATTGGTTCACCAGCTCCTATTGTGTCGTAATCCTGCTTCAAAACACAAATATTTTTCTGCATACCAAAATTTTTAATCTTTGCGTCCGGAAAACTCATTTTTGAAAAAACGGAAGCCGATGCAATAGACTTCCTCTTTTTCCTGATTTCTTCAAGCCCCGATGGCCTTGTGGGCAAATACGGAAATGCTCTAGACCTTTTGTCCGCCCCAGATCTTGCAATAAGAAAACAGCCGCTCGATTTGTAAGATACCAATGCTCCGATGCATCTACCCTCTTTTTTCAATACGAACAGGCATTTCGACAGCGAGTTCGGAGGTTCTGTGTACGGGTGAATTGCATACTGCTTCTTCAATACGTATGCACCACCGTATTCCGTCATGCAGAAATCCTCATCCAGTTCATACCTCCTGCAGCTGGGCCGTTTGTTCTGAGCTGACCAGGCACCTAAATTTCATTAAACGTATTTTCAAAGCAAGTCACATTACACTACAAATCTTGTAAAACATCCAAATAAATGCAATCAACATCAAATAAAAAAAAAAAATACCCAAATTGTCACGCCACATAAGACCTTCGTTGATTGTCTCCGTGTTTAGAATGTAACATTTTTCAAATGGTATTCCATTTAGTCGTATTTTTGGCGGTTTTTCATTACCAGTAGCACTACTAAAATGCATGAGAATGCAGTACAGTTTCAATACTTCACCAAATAAATAAAATTCTCCAAGACAACATGACATATTTTATTCTAACACATCAAGGCAAACATAGAATGAAAACATACTTCGCTATCATGTCGAGAAATGGCAATCTTGCCAACGTCGATATATGCTTCTCCGCATATACAATTCCTTCTTCTCTGGAAAGGACGCATTTCGTAAACAAAAAGAGAAGAAATAG